GTGTGTATATTTAGGGTGTTTCTTTTTTGTTTTTGATATTTTGTTGAGTGTGATTTGAGCTGGAACTCATCCATTAATTTTCACCTGACGCAGCCCTGCATAAATAGAACGGGTGAATTTGACAAGAATGCCTCTATGCAAACTACAATCATGTAAATATGTCAATATTTCGAGTTGCTGCTTTAGTTTATTCGCATATAAATTAAGAGACGTGCTTTATAATGGGAACTGCATGAGAATATACGGTTTTAAAAGCACTCTCCGAATATGTTTTTATAAAAACAATTAGTTTTCCATATAAGGAAAAGTTTCGTTAACACTTGCATAATATACCTATTTTAAAAATCTCGTTTTTTTAAAATATAATGGAAATGATCATTCAAGCGAATTTATAAGTGCTAGTATACTAAAGAAATCGTCAGTTCACGTTCTCGCAGATGCCTAAATGTTGAAGTGATTTATTAAAAAAAATGCTTGCGTAATTGTTATTTTTATTGGCTCTTCTTAAAGTGATAAACAGCATTAACCAACTTGCTTCATTTTTATTTACTTCTTACACAATTACGTTTTAGTCACATTGAGGATCGTTTTTCATTAGATGGCGATCTAACGCTGCGTTTTATGCCTTTTTAGTCCTGAAGACTAGCGAGATGTTCAGTGAAACTTTTTTTTTTTTTTCCTCCACACACACACACTGATAGATTTACACACGCGGACTAAAAGCCCGAACGGATTCTCAAATAAAACCTTGCAGATGTAGCCTATTCAGTTTTTTTCTCTCTTTCTTTTGTGCTAATAATTTAAAAAAAAAGTGATTTGTACTCACGTCCACCACACAAGTTAGGGAGAAACTCCATCCAGTTCCTTACCTGATTGGGTCCCGTGACTTTTGCCACATTTAAAAATGAGCTGAAAATGCACAATAAAACCCAAATTATAATTTGTTTCGAAGAGTCCAGTCCCTGTAGTTCGCTCCGTTGTCTTTTACACACTGCAGTTTTTGCTTCGTCTTTGCCACTCTGCCTCCAAAAGCCTTGGCACAGTTGCCTTGGCATTCAGTGCCTTCTCGAAGAACTTGGCAGAAAATACTATAAAGGCGTCTCTAACGTCTGCCACAATTAGAAGAGACAAAATTATGTGCATTTTTAGATTTTTATTATAAATGTAATGCTTTTGATTTCATTTTATCCGAGACTGTTCGCTTGATAACATTCGTCTTGCTTCATAAAGGGCCGACAGAAAAAAAAAATCCTGAACAAACGGTGCAAGTTTGAGCTCATTAATCGTTGTGTTAGACAACACACTACATACAGTATATTTCATTTGTATTAACGTTTTTATTTTATAATACCACTATTTGAATTAGGCCTAGCCTATAGTCTAGACTAGAGTCTGATTAGATGTAATTCAATGTCATGTTTAAGCCTAAATCAAGTGTAAAAAAGCAGAGCCATTCAGATAGCCATGTACAATGGCATTAATTATAACTTTTTCAAAGTTTATATTCTCATGTACATTTCTGTTAACATTTTCCCTAATCTAGTTGTTGGTCATTCTAGAAAAATACATCCTAAATAGCTTTTTTGTTTGATCAATTTATTCCCGCGAACTTCGTCAATGTACAGTTCATCATCAGGCCTATAAGCGCTGTTCAGCCAATCAGTGCTGAAATCAGAATCAGTGCTGAAATCAGAATCAGTGCTGAAATCAGAATCAGTGCTGAAATCAGAATCAGTGCTGAAATCAGTGCGTAGATGTCAATTAAGTGATGTATACAGCCACTTATCTGTGATTGTAAATATTGAAATATCTTTGACGGGAGTTTTGAATTCAGTCCTTCAGCACTTTTTTTAGGCCCGAGTAGGCGTTTGAAGAAGCTCCACAAGTCAAATAATATCCGATGTGTATCCGATTTCTGATGACATTACAAAGTAAAAATCGGAATATTTTAATAATTGATCCAATTCTCCTGAATTTTCTAGGCCGCTTTTAAGTTTTGTAAAGGCTGCATTAATACAGGTGAAAAATGAACGATGCCACGCGAGTCCCGTTTCAAGACTTGACAAACGAGACGTCCAGAACCCCTTACCGTTCAATAGTAAAGTTCCCATTCAAAGTACTACGTTTGCGGAGTTAAACGAGCGCGACCTGCGTAATCGATTTCAACTTTTGTGCTGTAGACCAAGTCAAAGTGCACGCCTGGGCACCTGTCAAAGAACGATTTTGAGTTTTGAGAACGGCAAAGAACGATTTTGAGTTTTGAGAACGGCAAAAGCTTTTTTCTTTTTCTTTGCTTCACTACAAAAGCTAGCTTATTGTGTGTGTATGTTTATGAAGGATTATTCTAAGAAATGGGTGCATTTCAACAAAACAAATGTATAAAGCAAATTTCTTTACATAATTGAGCTATTCTATCAAAGATGATATTTAAGTGTTAATAAATTTGATTGTGCCATCTCAAGTTACATTTAAGAAAAATATATCTCATATAAAAGCTGTTGAAGATAGCCTAAGTCAGGGGTGCCCAACCCTGCTCCTGGCGATCGACTGTCCTGCAAAGTTTAGCTCCAACTCTAATCAAACACACCTGCCTTTAATTTTTAAGTGATCCTGAAGACCCTAATTAGTTGCTTCAAGGTGAGTTTGATTAGGGTTGGAGCTGAACTTTGCAGGACAGTGGATCGCCAGGAGCAGGGTTGGGCACCCCTGGCCTAAGTGATAAGGTTGACCGGAGCCTAATAAAATTAATGTAGCTACTTCCTTTTAGCTCAAGGACAATGTAAGATATTTGGAAATATCAAATACAAAATAATTGCTTTTATTAGCATTATTCTATTGTAATCTAAATGTGTCTGTTTTATAGTAGGCTACATCATAAAGTTTGAGGTGACACATTTCAACGCCAGGTCTGAAAGACCGCGTATTTCGAGCCTTTGCCTTCCCGTCAGGCTGTCAAAACAAAACGGGAGTCTGATATCATGAAGATAAGCGCTCTCTCTATTCCCAGTCTAATGCATTTGTGTTTCCGCGAGGCTGTTTACCGACAAACCGAGTGTCTGCGGGAGTTGTTGCCGTCACATGCGCGTGAAACTTGCCCAATAGCGACGTCGTGAGCTTTGAATTGCACTGTTTCGCCCAATCACAGAGTAGCTCATGAAAACACCAGAGGGACTGGCGTGCACCTGCAGCAAGTTACTGTGACTGTGAGTTATGAGCGTAATTAATATCCAGTTTCCTATCATTTCTATCATACACAGTGTTTTGTTAATCATCAGCTATCTTAGATTGAACAAAACTCACCTCGGTGGGGTTTTTTTCATGGCTTGATGCTCACACTAATTTTGATGCCCCTCAAATGCTTGAGTTTATGGAATATATCCTATAGTGTTTATTTTCTCTCCAACAGACTGATATTTTATTTAGAATATCATCCTGTGTTTCTGGAAAGCACTTTTCTGTGTGCGTTCAAATGAATCTTGCACGTTGCCCGATATAGGGGGCGCCCGATTCCGAATGACTTACTGACCAGAGCTGGTTAATAATAAAACGCTGTTGAGTGCCAACCAAACTAATTACATGAACTAGGTTTGCTTATTAATGTTTGCGCGTTCGGTACACGTGATTAGAAACATAACATTGCATTTGGCAGTTGCTTTCCTATCCATCAGTGTCCATTTCTTACTTTTAAATCACAGAAGTTATTCAGGTGGACTTCTTTTTGTTTGTTTGGACAAAACATTCACAATTTCATTTTGTGTGGTCTATATCATGGGCTCTTTGAAATATCAGAATCACAGAAATAAATATGAATAGGCATGTGTTGTTAAGGAACATGCCTGCCGCACATCAGTCTGAAATACTTTCAAGACGGGCCTCACAGAAATGAAAGATGATACTGAAAACACTGGCGCTTGTAACTGGCCGTTTCAAAATATTCTACAACAATGCAATGCATTTCAATTCTTGGATTTGGATAGACATAGGCTACGTGAGCACAAAGAACAAAAACAAGCATTCATTTATGTCCTGCTATTGGAAAGAACGCTTTTGTTCAGTTATAAGCCATTTATCCCGCGATAATTCGTAACGCAACGCTTTTTATTTAATGGCGTTCGATGCCATTAAATGTTTTCGAACGTGCATTGCAGTCTGTTTCTTTTAGTGGATAAAAACATAGCGCGAGCGGTATAGTCCGATTACCAAATGAATGACGCTCTTTTTACTGAATTTTAAAGACAAAACGCAAAAAGTGTAGTCCGATTCTCACACGAATGACTCGTTTGAGTCGATTCTTTTAGTGAATCAACTGCATATGATGTGACCAGCATTGTTCGGTTCCCAGGAGATTGATTCTTTTGAACTGGTTCTTTTAGTTAGGCATAAAACAATTAGCAGTAAATACGAATCGCGCCTACTTTCTCGAAATGAAGCAAGAATTGTTGTGCTATGTTGTAATTAACGCTCGTGGGCTTTAAATCAGCTGATCGGTTGTGCAGGCTATTTAAAGATACGCAGCATTTTGTTTAATTATTAAATATTACCACATTTGATTTAGTATTTTAATTTATTATGCATATAGAAGCAGTTGCACTTATGCTGCTTCTAAACGGACCTTTTGCAAGAGCTGCATTAAATTCATTGCTGATTTGTGAAATCTGAAATTATTGTAGCCTATCATTTGACAACACACTAGCATACTGCAGGCAGTGAATGCGATCCTAAGGTCTTCTTTTCCCAAACGTTTATTTCTCAAAAGTAGCCTACTCCTTTATTTTTTGTTAAAAATAAAATGAGAAGAAAACCCTCCAAATTCGGTGCATAAGATATCAACTGCACGCTAAAAGACGCAAGTTAAATTCATTATCACACTTTCTGCATTACAATACTTGGTGTAGGCTACACGAAGCGCAACGGCATTGGGAGTGCACATTTCCCTTGTCCCGCATGTGTATGGCTCTCATGCCGATATTGAGGGCGCTGTGCTGATGGAAGAGCCCAAGAGTTTGAACGGCAAAAGTGAACGGGAGCTTCGTCTCAGCGGACTCGAGTCGTGCGCTTGCTTCACTTTTTTTCTCTGCCTCTCTCTCTCCCGCTCTCTCAGGTCGAAACTAACCACGACACAAGTGGCAGCTTTTGCAACAGGGGGTTTTAAGGATATTACAATCTTCCTAAGCATGCCGAGCCCTGCTCGCTGCTCGTAAATCCGCCTCAGTTTAGCTTCGCACCGCCACATGCCTGACGGCGGATGCAAGAGCGCGGCGCGGCGCTATAAGAGACAGCGAAGAATGAATCAAACGCGAGTTTTGTAACGCACCCGGACGACTTTTTCTATCGTTTTTTCTATTCAGATGACCGCAAGATGAAATAATCGCTCCTCTCGGCGCTTCATCACCACAGTTTCACTCATGGCTCTGTGAAATCTCCGCGTACTTCCATCCATCCGTCGTCGGGACTTTTCTCTAAGGCTGCACTTGATGATAATGCCGAAAGTTTGGATATACGGCTTTAACAGTACAGTACAGTAGATGTGTGTAACTCGAGGCGGGGTTAAAGTTCAGCTCTATGGAGCGCTGAAGCGTCGCGCGCACTTCGCAGAGTTGGAAATGTGAAAGCAAGAAGCAAGGCTTTATTTTCCCTCTCTCCCTTCTTCTCTGTCTCTCTTTTTTTTCTCTTTTCATACACACATATACATACACACCCCATACATTCACACATACACACCCTCACTCACACACACGCACACACACACACAACATATACATCGCCAGTTCAAGAGTTAAAACCGACAGATATGTATTCTCCGCTATGCCTAACACAGGTAAGTGACATTTTCGTCTATTTCATACACACATATACATACACACCCCATACATTCACACATACACACCCTCACTCACACACACGCACACACACACACACAACATATACATCGCCAGTTCAAGAGTTAAAACCGACAGATATGTATTCTCCGCTATGCCTAACACAGGTAAGTGACATTTTCGTCTATTATTAACTCTGTTTGTTGCGTTTGAGCGGTGTCTTTGACCGGGACAGCGCGGATAGGGACTAACCTTTGCATTAGACAAGTAACTTAGTGTGCACTAAGGCATTTACTGAGCTACCACATGGCGGATGGCGCCCACCTTACACACATTAATGTTTCTTGTGCACATTTATCTACAGTTGTGTTTTATTCTATCCGCTTTTTGCATGGGCACGGACGTTGATATTGAGCAAGTTAAGCGCTGTGCATGAAAGAAAACGTTACACTGAGTCAACGTTATGCACGTTTGATCCGGTTGCACTCTTTAAAAGAAAGTTCTTTAACGATTCAGCAAAGAAATCTTTTCTAATTAGGTTGCTTTATGGTTATTCAAAGATGAAAGAGTTCTCGATGTAGGTTTTTCACAGCACTCTGGGTTTCTTTAAAGCACGACAACTCGTGAAATGCAAAATAAAAACTCTTTGCATGACTGCTAAGACACCAAGCTGTTTTAAGTTTGGAGTTTAAAACGTCACATAAACGTCTTCACCTTTAAACACAGATTTGAGATCATCGACAGATATGTATTCTCCGCTATGCCTAACACAGGTAAGTGACATTTTCGTATATTATTAACTCTGTTTGTTGCGTTTGAGCGGTGTCTTTGACCGGGACAGCGCGGATAGGGACTAACCTTTGCATTAGACAAGTAACTTAGTGTGCACTAAGGCATTTACTGAGCTACCACATGGCGGATGGCGCCCACCTTACACACATTAATGTTTCTTGTGCACATTTATCTACAGTTGTGTTTTATTCTATCCGCTTTTTGCATGGGCACGGACGTTGATATTGAGCAAGTTAAGCGCTGTGCATGAAAGAAAACGTTACACTGAGTCAACGTTATGCACGTTTGATCCGGTTGCACTCTTTAAAAGAAAGTTCTTTAACGATTCAGCAAAGAAATCTTTTCTAATTAGGTTGCTTTATGGTTATTCAAAGATGAAAGAGTTCTCGATGTAGGTTTTTCACAGCACTCTGGGTTTCTTTAAAGCACGACAACTCGTGAAATGCAAAATAAAAACTCTTTGCATGACTGCTAAGACACCAAGCTGTTTTAAGTTTGGAGTTTAAAACGTCACATAAACGTCTTCACCTTTAAACACAGATTTGAGATCATAATAGCCTTATTTGGGTGCATTTTGTTATTAAATATCAAAACAACTATGCCGTTTTCTGTATTAACTTTAGTTTGAACCAGCTGCCGGCAATAAAAAGCTTTTCTGTTGCTTACATGAGACTTTTTCTTCAAGGCAGCAGAAACTCTTTGATTTATATTTTTGAAAGCTTCAATGCCTCTATATTTCTGATATTTAGCAGCAGTTCTAAATATTGATAAGTTGAGTAAGTAGTTTTTTTAACTGTTAAAAGTTAAGACTGTTAGATTTGATGCTGTCATGCTTGATAGCTTAGTTTATAATGTGCTGTTATATATATATATATATATATATATATATATATATGTATGTGCACAGTGTTAATTGTTGTTTATCGTACTTGTGTAATTAACACAGAATAAAACTAAAGTTGGACAGCAACTGAGAGGGTTAAAAGAACAATCATTGTGTGACTCGTGGTGGCAGGTGAAGTGAGGTGACAGGTCTGTAAAAGCTGTAGCGTTATAATCTTGATGTGATTTTAAACTGTTTGGTTAAATGTGTTTTATTGAATTCTCAAAACAAAGGAGAAGGCCTCAGTATTGTGTCGCCTATAGGGACGTTCTTTTGACCGTGTTATTTACAGTCTGTTTGGAGATACTGGAAAGGATTCATGCGAAAAAAAAGACAAATTATGTGTAATGTGTGGAGAAAGACGAGCTGAGAAAGTTCTCAAACTTTTAAGTCGTCTTTTCATTGATTTGATCAAGTACGACTTGAATAAGTTCGCAAAAGTTGTTTTATAACTATTTATTTTTGTTACATCCATGCAAAACCATGGGGAAGCTTTTGATAATTTCAGTCACAGTAAATGTAAAACATTATCACTTGAAACCTCACATAAGAACTTATATATATCTAACGTATTTCATTTACTTGAGTACCAATATTTGTTGCTAAAAACAGTACTTATTAAAAATAAGTGATACACAGAATTTAGAGCACTAATGCACTCTCTGAAAAACAGCTTACAATGTTACAATAAAAAAAATGTAAGCACTGTTGCCTTTCTTTTAAATAAGTAATTTGACTGTAATATTATTAAACGTCTAAAAATCATAGTTGCATTGAAGATAATTGAGACGGGCAATTGATTTCCTCTCTGTTGCAGTGTTAAGGCAGTAAGGCAGGTCTATTTTCTCTCTCTCTCTCTCTCTCTCTCTCTGTGTGTGTGTGTGTGTGTCGTATTTAAGGATTCAAATAGTCTTCAGAGTGCCAAAAATCACGTTTGTATACTGCTTTGATTTTATATTAAAAACCTTAAAATCCAAATATCACATTTTCAAATCTTTCACATATTTCAGTTGTTAAAAAAAAAACATACATTTGTCTTGCATTAGTTATTGAACACCTTTCAGTGTGTTAACGTCATATTATGTAAACTGTGCTTTCCCATTATTTGTTTTTCGTAATATTTTTGCATGTGTTAAAACTGTCTTGACTGTTTTGGCCATGAGGCACTATTGTTCCCTGCTGAGGCCTTCCTATATCAGCTTGAAACACTTAAGGAGTCTGGAAAAACCTGACATGCTAACCAGACCCTATATTGACACTCAGGCACGCTCCAAAATGCGAAGAGCTGTTTGTTCTGCCGCTACGAGCGTGTAGAATTTGGTTTTCATGAATTGCTAGAATTATAACAAAAGAGGAAAACAAGCTTTCTGGATGTTCTCATAATTATAATTTGCATGTTAAATTATGCTGTGTTGTGTATCATCCGCCAAATAATTCTAGCAATCGGTTGATTTGTTTAGAATCATCGCTAGAAAACTGCTGAAAGTTAACATCATGTTTTTACAGTAGAGAGCTCGATTCTCGTCTGGAGATTTTCCATATTGATTTCTTTTCTCTAAGCAATTTTACAAGAAATCTGAGTGTAGACAAGTCTGCAACAGATCCTTAAAAAAAAAAAAAGTAAAATAAAAAGCACATAATTATACAACATGTATAAAAATCCACAACAATAGATGAAATCAGTAATTGAGGAACAATATTTCACAGACTTTGGATTAAGTTACTTGGAGAGTCAGTGAAGGAAGATAAGGGAATTCATTCACTCTTAAATGCAGGATGAAACAATACAGTTTTTATGCCTTGGAGGCAAGAGAGTTTGATTCTGGAACAAGACAGGAAGGAAACAATATGATTAAACATATACGTTCTCACAGGAGACACACACACACCGCACACTATAATAATGATATATGCTTATGCAAATCCTTGATTTCCTGTGGTGTAACAAAAGAGATATGGCAATATGTACTGTATCTATATGAAGTCTGTTGTTGCTGTAATTAATAAGATAACATGCAGAAATCTTACACAATCACAGCATTTATTTCAATCATAAACCTCCATAATTAAAACTTTTTTTTGTAATAAATATTTATTTATTTTTTGCTCGATGGCATATTGTGATTATTTTTAATTACGAAACAAAGATTATCAGCAGTGCTTGAAATTGGCCTGAGAAATTAATTTAATTAACGTTCCTAAATGACGGCGAATTAATTGTTAAATTTCTAAAGGCACTGGTCCGAGGCCCAGCGCGTTATATTCATATCTGTGCTTATTCAAATGAAATCTGCTCAGCACATAGTGCACTTTGCTTGCTTGCTGGCAGTCCTCTCGTGCTCTCGCACGGTCGGTTTTGGGACACGATGCAGGGCTATTGCTGTTTGTGGAAATGTTATTCTAGTGATTGGCAGTCTGCCATTATTCTCTCTATGTAATAAAAACCCTGAGTTATTTTCCGTGTAAAATCCCAAATTATTTCATATTAGAACCGCACGTTATTTATTTGATTAAGGCAATCAAGAAATGGACATGCAGGCCTACAAATACAGAAAAGCATGTATTTATTATTTTGATAATCAAGCACATGTACAATATTACAAATGCTTGTAGTTAGTATAATAAAAATCCTGCTATTGCATTATGCAGCTTTCCTAAATAACTGCATTTCTGGTTATACAGTAATATTATGTAAATATGAAATTATATTGTAGATAAAAACAAAACAAAAACAAATCCCTGCATGAATGTATCCACCGAAAGAAGGAGTTTTGACCACGTACAAAAAGATGTTTTAACGTCGCGGCCGATATTTCGCTGATCTTTTTATTCATTATATTTTAAAAATTGATTTTCTGCCAGGTTGTGCACCAGTGGCAGGTGAAGGGATCCCAAAAGCCGGCACAATCTGCCCCACACACACTCCTGTGTGAAAACAACACACTCCTCGCTGATAGCGAATGAAGTAGCTTGGTTTTTTGGAATCGTGTGTGCATTTTTATGGAGAACAGATAAAAATAGCCACTCCAATTTTCCTGGTCGGTTGTTGCTTTTTCTCGGCCCTGGCAGACCCCTACAGACCAGCATTCTTGCCAGAGAGCCAAGATATGTCCTAGACGAGCTTCACACACACACACACACACACACTGCCCTGCTCGGTTCACAGACACAGTCCTGCTGTTGAGGGCCGTTTTTCAAAATAATCAAAAGGGATTTTATGTAGACATGCATGTTTCACTTTCATGGTGTCTGCTGTGAGAAATTTGTACTTTAGCTAGTTAATTTTTTTTGCAGTTGCTTTATTAAAGAAAGGATTTTTAGTATTTATATTTTTAAGGATGTTTCTAAAAGTAATTCATACTAATTTCCACTCCCATATCCTTCTTCGCAGGATGAATTCCATCCTTTCATTGAAGCACTGCTGCCCCATGTGAGAGCATTTGCCTACACTTGGTTCAACTTGCAGGCCCGCAAGAGAAAATACTTCAAGAAGCACGAGAAGCGCATGTCTAAGGAAGAGGAGCGAGCTGTAAAGGACGAGCTGCTTAGCGAGAAGCCGGAGGTCAAGCAGAAGTGGGCATCGCGGCTGCTGGCCAAACTCCGCAAGGACATCCGGCCGGAGTTCCGCGAGGATTTTGTGCTCTCTGTCACCGGGAAGAAGCCCCCTAGCTGTGTGCTCGCCAACCCCGACCAGAAGGGCAAGATGAGGAGAATCGACTGCCTGCGTCAGGCGGACAAAGTGTGGCGCTTGGACCTGGTCATGGTGATTTTATTCAAAGGTATTCCGCTTGAAAGTACTGACGGCGAAAGGCTGGTTAAGTCTCCGCAGTGCTCGAATCCGGGGCTGTGTGTGCAGCCGCATCACATAGGAGTTTCCGTAAAGGAGCTCGACCTGTACTTGGCCTACTTTGTGCATGCAGGTAAGTCCCGTTTTGAATTGAGTAAATCTGTTGAATGTGTGCGAATGACATGGCAAAACGTGTAACACAATTTATGGTAATGGATTGCACTTTTTAGGATTTTACTGTTTTTTATACATCAACAGTCAATAAGGAAGCTGTCGGATTCAAATCAAATCGAATCCGCTGCTTCCTTTATGCCAAAAGATATGCCAAAAAACGCAGACTTTTAGCTGAATATGTAAATGAGAGTGAATTTTCCTGCTAATTGCTAACTGCAAGAAGCTAACACGGAAAAGTCCGGCACAAATATCTGACGGAGCGACTGTTAATTGGCAGAAGGTGGCAGGGGATCCGTCTTGCACTGACAGCGGCACAAACGCAGGCTTTCACTTGGAAGACAAGAAGCGCACTTTGTTTCGCAAGGCAATAGGGATGTAACGATTCACTCAACTCACGATCCGATTAGATTCACGATTTTGATTTCACGATTCGATTAGATTCACGATTATTATTATTTTTTTTTAACAAATTAAATGTGTCCTTTTATTATTGCTTGGACAAAATGCTGCACGTTTCTTTGTGAAATTGAAATATAACACTATAATAATATACTAATATAGCACTTGCATATTACTGCTCTTTTATTGGTTTTGATTGCTTCTATTGTCCTCATTTGTAAATCGCTTTGGACAAAAGCGTCTGCTAAATGACAAAATTTAAATATAATGTAAATGTAAATAACAAAACTACATTGAAATTTTAAAACAAGCCCCAAATCAAATAAACAAGTAACACAAATAAAATAAATATCTTCATATAAACAAAATAAGGCTTTGTCTGTGCTCTTTCCATTAAAAATTAGAGGCAGCCACTGCATTTTAATCATGATCCAAACAAAGAAGCTACACACATGCAACATGAGCAGTTTTTAAACTAAATTAGATTGTATAATTTCGAAATTTGAAGCAAAAACAGAATGGTTTGACTTCAGTTTGTGAAACTATAAATAAACATATCTGCATGAAACAGCTGAGCTGAATGAGACGCAGATTCACTCTCTGCCAGTAGGTGGTGCTTAAAGCATTTCCTGGTTTCCGCTGTAAACAAAGCAGTGCTGCACTTATGAACTTTAATATGCGTTATACAGAGGCAAGAGGAAAAGAAAAAATCTAAACTTTTCTAAAGACAGAAGTTCCCCTCAGACATGCATTCATATAAACTCCTACACCTAAATGAATCGCGATTTGTTTAGCATCTCAACCGATTTGAATCGTCACATATTTGAATCGATTTTCAACCGGCTCGCAGTTAATCGTTACATCCCTACAAGGCAAACTGAGCACCTTAATTACATCGTTTCCTCTCGCATGCAAATTGTGGCACCAAGCGAGTTGGCAGCGCGCGTTTCCGCCATTCCCGGCATTCGAACTCGCGCTTTGATGAAGTACCGATAAAAGAGTGAAAACGCCGTGTAACCCGAAGACGGCGGAGATAAAGCCGTAAAACGTGAGCTTTAGCGCCGCGTTGGAAAACCGGGCTATCTGGCAGACGGCAGGTTGCAAAATAGGAGCGTGTGAATTACTTTGACTTGGTGGGAACACAAAGGCCCGGAGCCTTTCAGCTTTTTGTGAGGATAAGCACGACACCGTTTTCCCGGTGTTTTTCAACGCGTTTCCCCGCGGCCTGCCGAAATCCTTAGTTTTGATGTTCTGAAAGCCTATTCAGTGGGGAGCGTCCTGCTAACATCCTAATCGGCGAAGTTACCGTTTCTTTTTGATTCGATGGTGAATAAGAGACGTCAGCGAGAGAACAAGAGGAAGAAAGACGCAGGAGTCTCTCTCTCTCTCGCTCTCTCTCTTTCTTTCCTCGTCTCTGACCTGCATTCGGGCCGATCAGGTTTCGTCCTCTGTCTTATTTAAAGCAGTGGAGCATTGCTGGAGCCCCCTTGATTAAAAGCCATCTGAAGAGAGCCTGACCTCATACACAGATGGCGAAAGTGGGGCTTCTGAGAGGAGCTAAAGTCAGTAATTAAATTTATCCCACAGTCTTGCCAGGGCAAAGGGGTGCAGGCCAGCAAACACACCCACTTCATCTTGACGATAATACGACTACCTATCGATATTAGGGGGAAATGGCTGGAAGAGAGGTTTCAATTCAATCTAGGTAAACAGAAACTCAAATATACTAGAGGAACAATATAATAAGCTACGAGTTTGACTTTTCCGTTTGTATTTCAATATTTTTTTGTGAGTTTGTTTGTATCAATGTTTTTCTATTTATGTGCAGTAATGTTCAACTTTTTTCTTATATGTAAGTTTAGATTTCAAAATTTTCAGTATTGTTCATTATATTTTGTAAGTTTAAGTTTGTATTTCTCAATTCTTTTAATATTTCTTCAATATTTTCACTAATATTTTATATATTTGAATATTTTTATAATTTGCAACGTTAAGTTTGTATTTCTTAATATTGTGTCAATATTTTTGCACTATTCAGTATTTTTCTATTCTATCTAATAGATAGAAAAAAAAGAAAGTTTTTTTTCAGAAAAAAATCAATTGTTCTTATGTAAGGTTTTTTTTCATATAATATGTTAAAGTTCAAGTTTGTACTTCTACGTTTTTTCAATATTTTCCAGTATTTTTGAAATGTATTTCTTAGAACATGTATTTAAAAATCCCATTTTTCTAATCTCAGCAGTCACGCAGTTCGTAATTTTAGTCAGATGCCATACATTTCTTAACAGAAAGGAACACGAGAACTAGAAAAAGACACAAATGTGGCGTTCGCTGAGGCCTGAGGATGTGTAACCGTGGCTAATTTACGACAGGAGCACTCCACACGTGGGAGAGGTCACGGCTTAAGATGTTAGGGTCGTGACCCCATCTTCAAGGCATTTGACCTCCTAGATAAACATCCACTCCCATTAGCAGCCAGTCAAGCGGAGGGCAAGCTTTGGTTTTGGGTTGCCCCCTTGACCTCCTGTTAAAACAGGTGGTTTTGTTTGGGCCACAGAGTGGTGTGCTGTTTAAACCAGCCGAAAGGGGCTAATAGCCATGGAGACCCAGACTAGCATTACACCAGTGACTGTTTCCTTTTAAGTAGTTTTAAGTAGTTATGTTACATTTAAGACTGAATGTTATTTATTACATTTTTTAAAAATCAAGTCATAATTCTTCCCTCGCAATGTTTTATTTTTAGTATTTTAACATACAAGCTACTTTTAAAATATTTTAAAATGTATTAAATTTTTTAAATCATAACATTTTCTCCTAGATGTAAGATTTAGTTCCCTTTCAAGTTCAAGTCTAAATTATTACTATTGCGGAAAAAAAGGATATTGTGTTGTCATATAAAATTTAAAAGATGCATTAATAAGATGAAATACACAATTGTATAGAATTCTTTGAAGTTCCTGTCATTATACATGTCAACTAAATGCAATTTCACTTGTTGTGAACTGTAGTTGTGTCTCATTCCAGTGTTTTCAGACTCACTACACAATGGAAGGATACCGCTGGTGCAGATAGATAACAATCGCTCAACCGGGCCTGTGTGTACATTTCTAGCCAGGCTGATAGATATTTATACTGGACTTACCTTAATTGACCTGGAGCCGCATCGAACAAACCGTTTGCGTGTGTAATGTTTGTAAAGACGTCTGACCCACTTTTATGTGAGCTCTTAAACAGATTTACTGTACAGTGTGTCTTTCAAAACTAGTTAGCTTTGATGACGCATGCTCGAGGCACCCAGTCATAAGTTTTTGTAAATTCGTATTAAGTTCTAGGAAGCTGGCTGAAAGTTTGTGCAAAAGCCGGTCAAAGGCTACAGCAAGCCGATTCGTAGAATTTTTTTTTTTTTTTACGCCAGTAACCGAATCCGCTGATATCTTCAGGCTGACTTTTGGCACATCTTGTGTTATAGCCGTTTTTTTATTCCTCTTCCTTTCCACAGGCTGAGGAATAACAATAATTTGGATCTATTTAAGGCGATTGTGGCATAAACCACAGCCTTTGTTGTGGTTACTGCAGTACACATTGTGGGCTGGGACCTCCCCACCCCCTCGCACCCATCCTCCCCTGCTTTCTGCTTGCTAAATCCCACCGACCGGCCCTGTTACTGCAACAATGACCATGCCACTGTGCTCTTTCACACAGTACCATTCATTTAAAAAAATGTCGGCCATTCATAAAAATACATCGTGCAACAAGTTATCTTGTGCAAATGCCGCTTTGGCACAGACCCAGTGCTGAAGGACCAGCTCGAATCCAATGATGGGAGTCAGTTTTAATATCATTGCATTTGACCTCCTTTTGAACCATTTTTTTCCTGCTGCAATGTGATTGGATTAAACAAAGCAGATGGTTCTGGGACGGGGAAACACTATAAGATGTTTCGTTGCGCAGCCACTTGCCTTTAGTGGGTGAATTTCTCCTAAACCTGATTGCAAGGCAAATTCGTGTAATCCGTTTAATGTGCATTGTCAGCGCCGATCTTTCCCCGCAAATTTGGACCACGTTAGTTGGCGCCCAAAGTAGGGTCTCAACCGTGCATTAATGCAACGCTTTCATTGTTGTGGTTCAAAAACTATTGTGTTTCTTTCTTTTCCGACAATTCGTTTAAATTGCAGCTCATCACACTCCATTTCCTCGCTGACATAACCGCGGCCTGGGGAGCGCAGTGAAGGGTTTCGAGCGCCGAGGCAGTGGGCAGTAATCTAGAGCCGGCGTGAGCGGTACACCTGTGCTCTGGGCTTACCGCTGTCCCCCTACATAGTGAGGCAGGAAAAGGAGTGAGGGGGGTTGGCACCAGTCAATTTTTGCTAATTAGTTTTGTATTAACTCCTCAGTCGTCCCAGCGCATGGCCACTGAGAGAGAAATGGGCCCCATGATGGGAGCTCGGCTATTTTTATTTTTATGCTCCTTTGTTCACACATTTATTTAATGCTTCTTGTGTTGGAGTTGCTACAGATGACTTTGCTGTGCGGGAATGTGTTAAGTAGGCCCGTATGGAA